GTAAATAAATTTTGATTTATATTATTAACTTTTCCATGGCGCTACAATAATGATCTTGAAAATATGCTGTGGCGTAGAGGGAATAGTTGCAATTTTTTTGGTGTAATAAACATAATTTTAACATATTTTTTGTATTTTTAATTTTTTTTCAAATTCAATAGTATACATACWAATACAAATTTATAATGACACTGAAAAATGTCTTTAGCGTACCCATGATAAATATTGCTGTGGCCGCCGGCGGCTGCATGGCAGTCAACGTGTTAAAAGTACGCCACTTCCGAATTTGTTGTCTCAGTCTTACAAACACGTAACATAGCAAAATTACGCTTAGGAGTTCATGTTTTATTCTGTTAGATTAATAATTAGAGAGAATAGAGCTATTATAGAACTTGATGGTAAGAACATTATCTGTGTTATGTTGGAAATTGTTTTATGATAATTCAGTTGATAAGAGAGTTTTGTGTATATAATGAATTGTAAAATAAAAATGCKTATTACTCATTTAAAAATTGAATAAACTTAAAAACTTCCAACAAAACTCAGATAATGTCCTTATCATCAAGTTTCATATTAGGTYTATCCTAATCTAACAGAATAAAACGTGAACTTCTGAGCGTAAATTTGCTATGTTATGCGTTTGTAAGATTGAGAAAGCAAATTCAAGTTTGGTGTACACTTAACAATGAATAAATTCAAGCAGATACATTAATTATTTTAYGAATTTCATATTACCTATTTATAAACACGTTACATTCATGAGCAAGGATTTTTCCAACTTTATCTTTCATTTTTTCTTTTTCTGCTAATTCAAGTTCAGCAACTTTTGCCATAGAATCAACTTTTATACGAGACCCAAAAACTTTTATTTTGTCAGTATCCATAGGTGTATTTGCTATTAATATACGCGCATTTTCTAAACGTTTTGGTTGAAATTGGCCAATTTTCTTGTCAAGAAGAAAACCTATAAAAAAAATAAATAAAAGGGGATTATCAATTTATTTACAAATTTAAATATGATTTTTTTAGTGTTGATTTAAAATGTGTTTTACCTTCATCCAAGAATGAATCTTCCAAACAACCACCTTTTAACTTTATAATTTGTATAGCTGATAAGTTTCCAGATCCTTTTAAACGCAAGATTGCATCTACTGATAGTTTAGCGAAATGTTCTTTATGTTGAGACAAGATTTTAGAACTTAATGTTGTACGAGCAATATTTAATAAATCTTCTCTAAATTCAGCTTCATTTTTGCTATGATTTAATGAAGCCAGTTTTAAAGCTTCAAGTGCTATTTGTGTTGCCTTTCTCCATCCAGCAATAATGATCTGTGGATGAATTTTTTGATCAACTAATTTTTCAGCTTCTCGTAATAATTCTGCAGCTATATAATATAAAATAAAAAATGTATTTAATATTACCTATCTGAGTATATGTCTATTTTTATTATTATATAAACCTTGTATAAACCTAATATACTAATTAATAGATATTAAAAGGACGCCACACTAGCATGTGTTGTCTTACAAGTGTGTAACATAGCAAAAACTGTTTTGCGTGGGAAAGAATCAAGAAAGCTACAGCCCCTGCTACAGTTATAAGTAAGAAACAAAACTTTCACCATATAAAAAGCAAAATTGTGTCTGACAAATATAGTTTTTATTTTTTCGATATTAGAATAACAAAAAAAGTTATTTATGCTTAAAAACACAAAAATAATGTATGTTTAAACTATAAGAACTCAATAAGAATCCAAATTTTGAGCTACTCTAATTTGGTCAGTTTTGAAAATAGTAAAAAGATTTTTATGTAATAAATRTTTTAAAGAATGTAAGTTGTATTGTGGGTACTAAGAAAGCTAAAAATGTTAAATTGGTCTGAAAATATGTATTTAAGTACTCCCTATCACCACCCAAAAACCCCATTTCAATACAAGGGTACCCAGCTGAGATATTCGGTGGTACCTAATATCATGATCACACTATATAAGATATATTTTAACATGTAGATTAACAAAGGCGGGGCCCAAGAAGTTAAATGTGTTGAGGCTGTTAATATTTTGGTATTTAACGCTTTCACCAAGACCATATATGGGGAGGGGGATTAGGGGTTCAACCCCCCCGAAATATTTTACAACTAATAAATTAAATTTATAATATTGTATATAATATAAATTATAAATTTACCTTAAAATA